CTACAACATTTTTTTTGGTCGTGTCAGGAGTGACCTGAGAAACTGCAAGTCGCTTCTGGTGTGAGACAATTGGCTGTCTGCAAGGACATTGCCCAGGGGACACCTGGATGGTTTTTTAATGTTTTCATGATCTTTGTGGGAGGCTTCTCTCATGTCCCCGCATGAGGAGCTGGAGCTGACCGAGGGAGCTCATCCGCCTCTCCTCGGATTCGAACCTGCAACCTGTCGGTCTTCAGTCCTGCCGGCACAGGGGTTTAACCCACTGCACCACCAGGGGCTCCTACTACAACATTTGAAACTGTATTATATGGTCAGTACATCAGGCATGGGCAAAATTGGGCCCTTTAGGTGTTTTGTACTCCAACTTTCTCCATTCCTAACAGCCTCAGGCCCTTTCCTGTTCCCCCTCAGTTGCTGAGGCTGTTAGGAATGCTGGGAGTTGGAGTCCAAAACACCCATGTGCTGGCACTGCTGTGCCAGGAGATTTGAATTTATTTTATTTGCACTGCTAGTTTGCTTGAATTTATTAAGCCATGCATTTTGCAATAAGGTAACTTCCCTCAGGTTGCAATCATAGGGCCAACAATCTATCGATCATTGTTAGAGCCTTTAGATCCACCCCTTTCCCCAGGTTTGGAGGGAAAAGGGGACTTTCAGTTCAGTCTCACAGTTTGGAGCCTTACAGCAGGACATATGGGCTTTCTCTGTCCCACCTGCAAAAAGTTTCACTTAGAATCATAGAATCAAAGAGTTGGAAGAGACCTCATGGGCCATCCAGTCCAACCCCCTGCCAAGAAGCAGGAATATTGCATTCAAATCACCCTGACAGATGGCTATCCAGCCTCTGCTTAAAAGCTTCCAAAGAAGGAGCCTCCACCACACTCCGGGGCAGAGAGTTCCACTGCTGAACGGCTCTCACAGTCAGGAAGTTCTTCCTCATGTTCAGATGGAATCTCCTCTCTTGTAGTTTGAAGCCATTGTTCCATGTCCTAGTGTCCAAGGAAGCAGAAAACAAGCTTGCTCCCTCCTCCCTATGACTTCCTCTCACATATTTATACATGGCTATCATGTCTCCTCTCAGCCTTCTCTTCTTCAGGCTAAACATGCCCAGCTCTTTAAGCCGCTCCTCATAGGGCTTGTTCTCCAGACCCTTGATCATTTTAGTCCCTCCTCTGGACACATTCCAGCTTGTCAATATCTCTCTTGAATTGTGGTGCCCAGAATTGGACACAATATTTCCGGTGTGGTCTAACCAAAGCAGAATAGAGGGGTAGCATGACTTCCCTAGATCTAGACACTATGCTCCTATTGATGCAGGCCAAAATCCCATTGGCTTTTTTTGCCGCCACATCACATTGTTGGCTCATGTTTAACTTGTTGTCCACGAAGACTCCAAGATCTTTTTCACACGTACTGCTCTCGAGCCAGGCATCGTCCCCCATTCTGTATCTTTGCATTTCGTTTTTCCTGCCAAAGTGGAGTATCTTGCATTTGTCACTGTTGAACTTCACTTCTTACAGCATTGCTGGGGAGTAAAGTTACAGTTCCACAGCGTTGCTGGGGTGAAAGAAATAGGTTTACAGCTAGCTTTGCTGGAAAATAAAGGAATGGTTCCACGGCCTTTGTGGGGCAAATCTACAGGACACCAGCTTGGCAGATCTACAGAGAGCTTGTCTGGTAAGCGTCACTCGGGTTATCCATAAAGCAGTTTGGAGCTGGGAGTTGGGGCCTCACGCCAGCAGGGTAAAGAAAGATTGCCCAAGGAGGGGTCGGAAGGTTTCCCTAAAGAAGATAGGAACAGTTTATCAAGCAGTTGCCTGTCCCTTGTTGGCAGATCGAGAAAGCTACTAGTTTTTCAAGATTATAAAGCATTTAATTCACTTGTTTGAAGATTTAAGCCTTAATAAAGAACTTTGTTGGACTTATTTTGAGCCTCTACAGAACTTTGTGTTGGGAAACCTATAGGACCCTTTTGCTGAGGCACCCCCGGCGTCCCGTTGGGCATACAGAAAGCAGGTCCTGTAAACAGACATTGTCATAGGCCCAGCGTGTGACAGCACAGTCCAATGTTGCCCATGCCTGGCCTACACTGACCATATAATGCAATTCTAAACCACATTACATGGCAGTGTAGATGGGGTCACATTGAAAGAAATGTCTTCAGAGGACAAAATCTTTGTCTGTAAAATCTTTCGAACTGAAACTGTCACTTGGTGTTCTGTTGTGCGCTAGGCCTGTAAAGAATTTCCTTTAGCACAGGATGTGCAACCTTTGCCCAGTGGGAAGCCAGGGGGCCCTAAGAAAAGTTCTCAGAGGTTTTCCACCACAAATAGTCTTTAGATGGCTTGTGAAGTACAACAAAGTCTTTTATTAATGAACAATCAAACAGAAACTTCTCTTGTCTTCAGTAAAGTTAAGCAAATGATTCCAAGGCTTTTAGGCAACTGGTGAATTCCTAATCTTGCCCACGAAGGACAGGCAACTGTCTTCAATAACTTCTTCTTTAAAGGAAAATCCCCTTTTTAACTTCTCCCAGGCTGACTGTAATCTAACCCTTACTGATGTGGGCTCCGCTACCGGGTCGAACTGCGTCTCGAACGCCGAGTGGACCTACCAGCAAGGCAGTAGATGTTCTCCAGCTGGAGTTCTTTGGTCTTTAGGGCTGTTTTCCTGGAAATCTTTGGAGACTCTTAAGACTGTTCTCCCCCGGAAAGTCCTCAAAGCTTTGGGGAGGCTTCCCTGGAGTTCTCTGGTTTGCTCTTAAGACTGTTTTCCCCCTAGCTTTCCTTGCTGAGACTAACTGAAAAATGGCTTCCTTCCCTTCTCAATTGCCCTGAGCTAGGGGTGGGACCAAAACTTAACAAAGATGGACAGGTGACTTGCCCTATGACTGCAACCAAAAGAAGGCACCTATCTGCAGAGTCCCTGAAACCTAGTACTGCAAACAAACATTTAAAACAAAGCAAATAAAGTTGGAGCTCCTGGTACAGCCGTACCAGCACGTACCCCCACCAATTACTCACCAGTTCACATTTTGATGTTTATATTCCAAACTGTGTGTATTTGCAGAAAAATTAAAGCTGTTTAGAGTGGTTTGTAGGTCTTCTTCTGAACGTGCATAGATGACGTTGTCATCAGCATATTGGAATTCTATAACAGTAAGTAAGTAGTAGGCTGTTTTCGTTTCCTAAGACATAGTTTCTTTTTTAAATCAAAGTGAAAGCAAAAAGGAGCAAAGAAATAAAGAATGCCTTTGTTTTGGGTTTTTTTTCCAGTTCATGTTGCAATTAAACAGAACTTGTCCATTGGATCAGTATTATTCACACGTATTTCTTATGTCAGTTAGAGAGATTAATGACTAGTGCTGCATCATAATAAACTGGAACTTGGGATAGTGCTCAAAAATTACACCAAAAGAGTCTCCTTGATAGTGAATTTGGAAAGCAAAAAAATTAAAATATTCTGGGTCAATGTAGAAAGATTCGTCGATGATATCAAAGTGGCAGTCAATATTATTAGAATATTTATTTACATCCTGCTTTTATCTCGATTGAGACACAAGTTAACGGGTATGCTGTGAGTTTTCCGGGGTTTCTGGCCATTTTTCAGAAGCATTCTCTTCTGACATTTCACCCACATCTATGGCAGGCATCCTCAGAGGTTGGAAGATATGTTGGAAACTATGCAAGGGAGGTTTATATATCTGTGGAAGGTCCAGGGTGGGAGAAAGAACTCTTGTCTGTTGGAGGCAATTGTGAATCAGCAGGAATCAGCCAGGCCTTGAAGCTGCAAGGCTTTGCAATGCTAATCAAGTTGATTAATTGCAACATTCACACTTAGGGCCAGGCTGTAGCACAGCTGGTTAATCACTAGCAGTGATAAATCACTGCCGACCGGAAAGTGGCAAGTTCAAAGCCCAAGTTGGGTTTGAGCTTCCGACTGTTAATAGCCCAACTTACTGTTCACCTAAGCAGTCTGAAAACAGCCGAGCTGTGAGTAGAGAAATTAGGGACAGCTTAAAGCGAGGAGGTTAATTTATGACACCATAAATGTCGGAGATCAAAGCGCAAGGAGGAAATACTTGATCAAAAGTTCAGTGTCATAATGGATGAAGCGACAGCTCCCCCCTGTGGCCAGAATCAAACAACCTCCAGGAACCGAAGTTGGAAAAAATGTTGAATTACCTCTATCTGTCTGTATGTCTTGTATGTCTAAAAACGGCATTGAATTTTGCCCTGTATGTTTGCATTGTGATCCGCACTGAGTGTCCTTCAGGGTGAGAAGGGTGGAATATAAATACTCTAAATAAATAATAATTCTTTCTCCCACCCTGGACCTTCCACAGATATAAAAACTTCCTTTGCTTAGTTTCCAATATACCTCACAACCTCTGAGGATGCCTGCCACAGATGTGGGTGAAATGTCAGGAGAGAATGCTTCTGGAATCAGGCCATGCAGCCCTGAAAACTCACGGCAACCCAGTGATTCTGGCCATGAAAGCCTTTGACAACACACAAAATGACTATTTGTCAGTATCCAGCTTTAGGTAACCATTGACAACGAGTATGAAGAAGTCTTGGACTGCTACCTCCTAAT